TTTTTTTTTTTTTTTTTTTTTTTATTTCAATGGAATTTACAACTGTATTACATAGAGAATACAATAAGTAAATGAGAAATTTGTAACATGGCATGTACAACATGAAGAGAAACTACCCATTGGTAGAACTCAAATTAAAGTTCTATATTAGAAGATCCCGAGGCCATCTTCTTTTCAGACGCCTCGGAGGGTTATCAGGGATCGAGGAGGAAGCAAGGTTTGAAACGAGAGGATTCGGATGATTCTGCAGTTTGTTATGGAAGGAAAGGTATCTGGATTGGGCCAGATCGGAAACATATGGAACATTAAGGTCTTTATGGATGATTTTATTTGTGACAAAGTAAGGAGCGTTGAGGATTTTACGAAGGATTTTGGATTGTAAGGATTGGATACGAGAGGAATTCGATGGTTTAGTGGGGCCCCAAAGCTCAATTCCGTAAGTCCAAATAGGTCTTATTATTGTCATATATACGAGTCGTTTATAATTGATTGAAAGCTTAGATCGTTTGTCTAGTAAGTGCTGCAGTAGTCGAAAACGTCGGGCGGTTTCTAGTCGTTTCAGTCTGGTATGGGGGTTCCAAGTGAGTCGTTTGTCAAGGTGGAGTCCTAAGTAGCGGATTTGCTCAACAGGAATAAGTGGAGTATTATTGAAGGATACTGTAGGACAAGAGGTCATAGGTTTACGACGGAGGGTAAAAGTGATTTGATGGGATTTGTTGGAATTTATTTTTATTCTCCAATTTTTACACCATTCTTCAAGGCTTGTGATATGTGATTGAAGAGTTTGGGATGCAATTAAAGGATCGTTATTAACTGATAGGATACACGTGTCATCGGCATAGGTGGTGATGACAGTGTTGGATTGGGTTGGGATGTCAGCTGTATAAACTGTGTAAAGGATAGGACCTAGGATACTACCTTGAGGAACACCGGCAGACTGAGTAAAAAGAGATGAATAAGCATTGTTATGATTGACTTTGAAGTATCTGTCAGTAAGGTAGGAACGTATAATGAGGAAGTATGTAGGTGGTAGGAATTCACGGAGTTTGTACATCAGTCCCGGATGCCAGACTCTATCAAACGCCTGTTCAACGTCGAGAAAGACTCCCGTGCAGTACATTCCGCGCTCCAATGCAGAGGAGACTACATCTACCACACGATGGCATTGCTGAATAGTGGAGTGGGATGTGCGGAATCCAAATTGGTGATCTGGGATAATGTGTTTAGAGTCTAGGATGGGATACAGGCGTTTTAAAATGAGTTTTTCCAGGATTTTGCCCATAATGGGTAAAAGGGAGATAGGACGGTAAGAGGATGGGTGTTCTGGCGGCTTTGTGGGTTTAGGTATCATTTTGACAATGGATAGTTTCCAAGAGTCAGGAAAATATGTGGTGCGGAGTACAGCATTAAATATATAGGTTAGGAACAATATGGCTTTTTTAGGAAGACATTTTAGGATCTGGGAGGTGATTAGGTCATGGCCAGGAGCTTTGCGAGAAGGTAATCTATTAATGATATTGGATATTTCTGAAGGATGAAATGCTTTAGGTGGAGGAGTCAATTGGAGTGGGGTATCCAATTCTGCTTCAATAAACTCAAGGTGGGTTGGATTAAGGATGTCTGGGTGTGGATTAAATGTTTTTGAGAGGTGTTGAGCAAATATTTGAGATTTTTCATCATCAGATCTGGACCAGGTTTGGGTTTCAGTAATAAGTGGGTGGTTAAAATCTTTGAATTTAAGGAGTTTTTTAGTGGTCAACCATAGTGATTTGTCACAAGTAGTAAGTTTTTCTGTCATGTTATGTAAATTTTGAACTTTGTATTTTCTAATTTCAGCTTTTAGTTGGTTAGTTAATTTGTTGTAATATGTCTTATCTGATGGATATCTAGTCCTGTGCCACTTCGATCTTGCTCTGCGTTTTTCCCTTAATAAGATACGAATATGCTGCGGCAAATTTGTCTGTTGGGAGTTGTCAGTTTTATTGGTAGATGTATTATTCTTTATTTTGTCACTTATAGATGTAGTAAGTTCTTTTATGGCTGTGTCAATATCACGTTTCGTCTTAAGTGGAATATTTAGGTCCAATTTATTTTCCAGGTCTTTACGAAAATTGTCCCAGTTTACTCGTCCTGTAATCAGTGTAGGAGAGGACGAGGGCTTAGGAGCGAAGGTTGTGTGTAATGAAAGCAGAACTGGAGAATGATCTGAGGAGAGGTCATCCAGGGATTTTATTGTGACATGGGAAGAGGAAATTTGGGAGGTGACAAATATGTCGAGGATATCAGGGCGTTTTTTGAGGGATGTTGGCCAATAGGTAGGATTCATAGGAGAGAGGACAGAGTAACTATTGGAAGTTGAGACAGAAGATAGTATGTTACCACGGGAGTTGGATGATCGACAACCCCATCGTTGGTGTTTAGCATTGTAGTCTCCTCCAGCAATAAAGCGCGATCCGAAGGATTGAAATAAGGATTCAAGTAAGTTATAGGTAAGAGTATGACCGGGAGGACAGTATACAGCTGAGAATGTTAAATGGAAAGGACGAGTTGAAATGATAACCGAGGTTGCTTGAATAGCCTCCGTTGGAGTAGAAGGAATGAGAGAATGGGATAAGGATTTATGGATAAGGATGCAAGAACCGGCATGGGAAGTGTTGTCGGGGTGGTCTGATCTATAAGTGATATAGTCACGTATGTAGAAATATGAACGTCGAGTGAAGTGAGTTTCTGTCAGTAGAGCAATATCAATGTGATAGTCATGAAGAAAAATGTCGAGTTCGTCTCGGTGGTTTTGTAGTCCGTTAGCATTCCATAAAAGAACAGCTAGGGGCTTAGTGCTCATCGTGAGAGATTGAAGGGAATTTCGGTAAGGATTCTTGTGAGGAGGGTAATTAGTGGCTTGATAGTCTCTTGGAGATCTTTCAGGAAGGACGCAAGGGTGGAGTTTATTAAATCGATCGGGTTTTGTTGGTCAGGTTGGTTTTGATTAGGAGTTCGTGAGGGAAAGATCTTATGATAAGGAGTGTCTGATGAAGGATGTACCCTTGGAACTTGGGAAGGAGAGTAAATATGAGCAGTAGGGTGGGAATAAACAGGAGTTGGATGTTCGGGCGGTAATTTTACACGTATAGGTATCTGGTGAGGAGGCATTTGCTGACGTGGAGATTTTGAATGAATGTGGGAGATTTGAGTCTTGGATTGGGAGGTCTGGATCTTAGGTTTGGAAGCCTGAGTCTTAGTTTTGGAAATCTGAGGCGTCTGACGTCGCGGCTGTTGATTCTTCACCGTAGTGTCTGAATATAGGTGCCTAGAGTCTTGATGGGGATGATCTGTTGATGTAGAAGGGTTGTGCGTCAATTGTGGTATTATTTCGTTCGGCAGTTGAGGAAACGCTGCCAAATTTAGGAGTTCAGGTGCCTGTACCTGTGCCTGGGTAGAATTCTTCTGTTCTTCTTTTAATGATAAATTATAAGTTCTTTGCTTATATAGCTTCTTATAGATAATGCAGCCCCGATAGGTTGCAGGGTGGTCCTCACCACAAAGGGCACATTTTGGTGGTTCATTTAACGGTTTCTGGCAGGTGTTAGAGGCGTGAGGCCCGGCGCATTTAACGCAACGCACCGAGTGATGGCAGTAAGCCTTTGTATGCCCTAAGTTTTGGCACTTGGTGCATTGAACGACTATTGGTTTCTGCCTCGGCTCTTCAAATTTTACAACAGAATACAGCAGTATTTTAACTTCGAAGATTTCTGCATTATTCCGGGCTGGCCAACTAAATTTAAATACCAAATTTCAACCTTACTACTTTATTCGGGTGCCATAGATAGTGTTACCAAAATGCGAGACCAAGACAAGTCTTGGTCTTGCGCAAGAGTCTCGTAACACTCATGCAGTTACTTAGTCATTGCCAGTTACTTGGCAATTAGCTTATTATTATAGGAGAAACCTAACTAAGCTCGAATGAAAAATTAGAGGAGTTCAATGCAAAAATATATTGGTTATACTAGTTATTAACATATAGTAACTAAGATTGTCAAGTATTAGTAACTATTTTGCCTTCATTTTAATTTAAAAAATCGATTTTTTATCTTTCCTGGTCTTTGTATTGCATCAGTTAGGCGATCTTTGGTCTTACAAAGTGCTAGACCAAGACCGATTTTGGGCAACACCAGCAGTAGATCTGCGCAATATTTAAAAAGTAGAGGAAAACCCGATCAGAAATGCCTCAGTTTTAATGAAATTCAACAGACTTTAATGGTTATTTTCTGTCTGGGAAACAACTCTAAATACATTAGTTTAGCTAATTTGATTTAAAGGATGCTCATTTAATCATAAAATTATTAAGAAAAATAATAATATTTAAGTTAAAATGCTGAAAAGCCATGAAATGATTATAGAAAAGAATTTAAAACATTCTTGTATTATTCTTAAAATAGTAAAATATTCTTGTACCCCGTTTATGTTTCCTAAAAAGATGACTCCCATGATTTGATGATATGGTCCGCAAGCTTTTAAAATTCTCGATCATTAACTAGTGTTGCCCAAAATCGGTCTTGGTCTTGCACTTTGCAATACCAAGCCCAAGGCCGCCTAACTGTTGCAAGACCAAGACTAGTACAGGTTAAAAAAATCGATTTTTCGCAAAATAATTAGTAACACTTGACAATCTTAGTTACTATTTGTAAATAATTGGTATAATCAATATACTTTTGCATTTAATCCGTCGAATTTTACATTCGGGCTTAGTTAGGTTTCTCCTATCTAAACTATTGCAGTAATATCTCTACAGTAATAAGCTAATAAGTAACTGCAAGACTGTTGCGAAACTCTTGCGTAAGACCAAGCCACGACCAAGACTGAGTTTGCAAGATCAAGACTCGTCTCGGTCTCGCATTTAGTCAACATTATCATTACCTAACTGGCTTACAAGCTAGCTATTCATAAAATGTTTAGATATGTACATTTAATAAAATACTTTATGACAAAATATTATCTTTCAGTGAGCATAGTGGAAGGGGAGACATTAATCCTGAGCAAGGTGACCCGCTCGGAGATGGGAGTCTACATGTGCATCGCCAGTAATGGAGTCCCTCCCACCGTATCCAAGAGACTCATGCTTCATGTCCACTGTGAGTACTTCAGCATTTTATTTGAATAGTTTCCTAGTTTATCGATATAAAAACTGTATGTTGTCTTAGCATGGTCAGCTTAAAGAGAGAATATAAATATATATTTATACGTTAGATAAAATAATCAAACATGTGATTGAGGCTGAAATACCGCAAGTTTTCTTTCAATAGAAGTAAGTGTTGGTTATTACTAAATTCATATAATTTATTTTAACTATAAAGTTTCTCCAATACATGGTACTATTGTTATGTTATTAGAAGTCTAGGTTCAAAAATCCCTTCGATTTTAAGATTGCGCAATAGTTTATCGATTTATAATTAAAATAACAATAAAGCCTTTTATTAAGTTCATAATATGAAAATTATAATATTTCCAATATGTAAATCAAATTACAAATATATTAAATTAATTTTTGTATTTACAAATAATGATAAATAAATAGAACAAATATATCCAAGGAATCATTATGTGATCTTGAACATAGGGCTTCCTCCAGTAAATATAAGTCTGGACTTTCCAAGGTGATCAGCCTACTGGGAAGCCGTGTTCCCTATCTGGACCTACTTCTATATCTAGCCATATCTATCTCTTGCCACCTCAATGGTTCGGTAATAAATCCTTCCTGAAGGATTTATTATTACTTTTCAAATATTTTCTATATTTCTGTCCATCTTAATATATAGGAGGCGCTTTTTTAAAGAAAATGTAATCGACTTTTAGATCGCACATTCTCGTATCAATTTATCGTTTTATTAGTAAAGACACTTTTAAAAATGCAAAACTGCACCGCAATAATCTAATAATGAACCACGTTATCGAAGAAATTCGATGTGATACAATATATCGATACAGCGATGAGAGCCTCATTTTAAGATCAATAGAATTTCTCCAAATATATTTAATAACTCATTAATAATGCAGGTATACAGTAAGTAAAAATTTACCGATTCTTTACCAAAGAAATCGAAATAGTTAATATAAATCTATCCACAATTACGATACATTAAAATCTAAAGTATTTGTCTAAGCTGCTGCTTTAATAAAATAATAATCTCCAAATTTTACCAGAACCTTACATATCATCCGAATTACTTTGTACAATCTCTATCCAGCAAAACCCTTGCCTATAATCCTCTAAGAAGGTTAAAACGGCAGTGTCCCCGCTACATTTTATATTTTGTAAATATTGTAGTTCTGGCAATAGTCAGATTCTCCACTCACGACATGAGTGTATATGGTTAAAGCACTCTCGATCAATCTCCGCTGGGTTTAGCCCCAGCAAAGCAGTTGAGAGAGAAGTGCAGAGATCTCCTTGAGTCACGCTTTTACCTCCACAGTTGGAGGTACAAGTTTTTCTCGGAGTTCTCTCGCCTAATTGTAAATAGTGTATATAGGTATGTATGTGTTCTTTTTTATTTATCTATTTTTAGGTTATTTTATACATATTATTATTATACATATTATATTATTTTTCTATATAATTTATTTTTTTATTGAAAGTGATGTCAAAACACTGTTATAAATGTCCTTCGCGATAGATTGTAATATTTTCAATAAACAAGTTTTAAAAAAATAAAAAATAAAATAAAATAATAGTAGACTCATATATCGAACAAATTGCAATGATTAATGCTCCATTGAGCAATAATACATAAGAAATATATATTTTTTGAATATCTATATATCGCTTCAATAGCCCTTCAAAATCATCTCCACGACCTTAAAAAATGGTTTCACAAATGGAGAATTAAAATCAATGCTAACAAGTCAACTCATGTTAGCTTCTTCCTAAAGAAGATCTCGTGTAATGCTGTGACAATAGACAATAAGCCAGTTTCCTCAAAAACACATGAACGGTATCTCGGACTATACTTGGATAAAAAACTCACCTGGAACATTCACACTAAAATAAAGAAACCAGAACTGACCAGACGATACAAACAACTGCTACATCTTTTGGACTACAGATCTCCACTCAACTTACTAAACAAGCGACTAATCTACACCACCATACTAAGACCTATTTGGACGTACGGACCAGAACTTTGGGGTTCCGCAAAACACACACACATAAACAAAATTCAAACCACACAACCCAAAAACCTTCGTAAAATATCGGAAAATCATCAAAGGTCCTTGGTTTATTTCAAATCGCACAGACATGAACATACCAAAAGTATAGTCCTATATACACAGCAAGTACACAACATTTCATTCTTCTACTCTCAATCATCCAAATCCACTCATTCTATCTCTATCTTCCTCCATGTTACCTGGTGAGCCACAACGACGACTAAAAAGGCAGTGGCCTAGATATCTTCTGCTGGCAAGTTAAGAAAATATGAAGAATACAAGAAGATAGAATAAACTCCAACACATTAGCTTGATGCGTTACAAAGCAGTGACAAATTTAATGGGAAAATAAATAAAATAAAAAAATATATATTTTTTTAAACTAGATCTCCGATAACATAATAATGACCGCTTGTTCCGGACGAGTCTGAAAACGTTAAATAAATCGATACAAGATTGTACATTCATAAAACCGATATTACCGAAAAATATTAAAGTTTGTATCACCGAAGAAAAAACGAACTGCAAATTTATATATAGATTTCTTGATAATTATTCTTCATTGTTTAAATGTTTACTAAATAAATTCTTCAATATTGATTCGGGTGGGGGCGATAATCTTAGCCCTAGAAGTAGGTACGCAAGTATTTTACCACGCCCAATTTTTCTATTTTGAAATTTTAGTTCAATCACTCCCCTCCTCTCCTTTCCCCAACCTGGATGGAAAAACAGCGCCTATGCTCTATCAAGTAAGATTTAATTTTAGTGATTTCCTGTTTATGAAAAATAAATGTATAACACAAACTTGATGAGTGCGAAAATTGCTGAGGAAAATTAATTTTAAAAAATTAATGCTCACGTTATTATTTATAGCACGACAATTTTCAGTACTAATCAATGGTTCATTGCATTGACTCTTCATTGTATTCACGTGTATCCATTTCGCTTCTGTCGAAAATTCTTTAAGAAACAGAAGGCTAGATTAGAAAAGAAAGCTGACATGGGAGGATCGCAATTATCAGCTGACGATGCGGACAGAGGACACATCGGTGCCGGGAGCAGGGCTGCCAATCCCCGACAGATCTCTTATTGGAATTCCGCAAGGGCCTCCTCCCCCCACAGTGGGGGAATTAGTTCTCTCTCTCTTTCCCTGCTTATTCAAATAAGGCCTCGTCCGTCCTTATTAAAGTATAGGATATTCCATTATCGCCTTCTGTCCTAGCGGGTGCACTCAGCCACTCGGCAGTCGATTAGCACTTCGGGGAGATGGAAGAGGGTGACTTGAAGGGTGTTTGTATTCATTGCTCATCTGTAGGCCCTTGATCTGTAAATTGTGGAATTTACTACAATGATAGCTAAAACGATCTCAACTGTAAATGAACCAATAAAATTTAAGTGTTCCGACTTCATTAAAATCACGAACTGGAAACACGTAATACCAATGAATGCTCCGATTTAGTAGGTCTTAAAATAGAATTGCTTTCCAAGAATATTATAACATTCTCTTCCAAATAATATCTTATAAGTTTGTAAAAGTAGCAACACTGAGTATAAAGATCTTTACAAGTTATAAATTAAAATCTTAAAACTCTTTTAAAAAAATTAGCTTAAAACTTACATTGTAAAAGGCTTAAAAGTATATATATACACACTTTTATATATATATATATATATATATATATATATATATATATAATATATATATATATATATATATATATATATATATATATATATATACATTAATATAGCTAAGATGTAGGCTACTGATAAAGAAAATTAAAGTAGAATAAAAGGAGTGAGGTATATCAGTGAGTAAGGCGTTGACTTCCAACGTTAAAATTTCAGATTCGAGCCCGGCTGTGGCAGGTAATTATTTATTCTGTTTATTCTGTTACTTCAACCGCGAATCGAGCCTGGCTCACATCTAGCCTCCATAAATTAAATATTAAACAATTAATTAAGGAGGAAAACCTGGTGGTTGACCGTGATCTCGTCTCAATCACCTCCCTCCACAACTGTTGGCCATAAAGTATTTCTTTGCAATGTACTGAATTGGTAGTTGTGGTCTAGGTAAAAAAAAAAAAAAGTAGGAAAATGGAATTATAATAAAATATAACATTCATAGCCATCCATATAAAATAGGGGAAACTATGAACCAAGTTTTGGTCTCTCACGTTTAATCTAAATCAGGACTACAGGAGATCTCATTGCTTCTCTACCAGCCTCGCCACTGGTTTTGGAAAGCAGTACACAGTGGGCGGTGCCACTTTAGCCAAAGACGCTGGAAGCTACTGCCAAAGCTTCAATAACATAACTACAAAAGGTCTAGGGACTACTGCCGTTCAATGTTCGGACAGAATTATAGAGACTGGTAGAACTAGGTAAGATTTGTAACATAATATGGAGCTGTTAGTATTCTTCGAACTTCGAATTCTCCTTTACAATTAAACTTTTAATATTACTTTTAAGATAATTTACCAAAGCTCATGATATATGAAAATCTGAACAGTTTTTGTCTTCCGAAAATTCCTTTTATTGATTTATGACGTTTCTGTATTTTTTTTATCTTATCTTCAGACTGTTTTATTATCTTTCTATCATCTCATATATCTTTAAGGCTTTTCATTTTTTATATGAAACAAATCTTTGATTTCTGAAACTTAGACTCTTCTCAGAGGGAGAACCTGGACATTTATGTATAATATTTTCTCAAAAAGATCGCTTGGTTCTCTATGTATTCTTCTCAGTAGATATTCCTACAAATCTTTCTTGGAATCTTTGCTGATGATTCTGCCAGTCAATGATTCCTTTTTAATGACATCCATAAACCTACAAAAGGGCCTTATCCAGATTAGGCAGTGGTGCAATGATTAGGGCTTCAAAGTTGATCTCTTGGAATACGACGTATATCCTGCCCACCAGT